GTTGGGTTGACAGGAGCTGGGGAGGAAACAGGAGCTCACCCTGTTTAGCGCGAAGGCTGGACTCGAACCACCGAAGCGTCAGCCATTTCTGGCTGGCAACTTTCAGCGTCATTAAGCCGCTGCGCCACCGCGTACCTAAGCCTTATTAAATATTATAATGCGAATGAAGGTTTTCAAAATTCTTTCTACTGAGAGTTAAACATTAATTGGACCCGGTCAGCTGAAAAATTGGTGGACATCACTAACCCTGCTATAACTAATATAAGCTTATACAAATGGGTTACTTTTGTCTGTTCTGTTGAACTGAACTGCAGAAGCATAAACAATGCTTCTAAAATCAAAAGGAAAAGTACGTACAAGCTCCAACCTATGTAACTCAGTTTGGGCTTCAGGCAGGTAGCTGTCAGATTTAAAAATGCTTGCTATAGAAAAGGTGTCAATTTATTCAAAGACCTCTGCTTTAGGCTTTAAGGTAAGCTATGAATCTATGCAAAATCGTATAAAAATAAAAAATACATAATTAATTGCTATATTAATCTATAAGTGGAAAGCAGTAAGAAACCTTTGCTTTGGAGAAAAAACTCATTTCATTTTACCTTATTTAGTTTTACTTTTATTTCAGTGCCTTTAAAATAAAGGATACCCTATATGCACAAGAACTGATTGACCTTCAGCATAAAATATCCCACAAATGTGATTTTGTATTCACAGAGGATTGGAGTACCTTATTTTATTAAGTAAAACAGATGCTTTATTATGAGAAAAAAGTACTAGCACTCTCTCCTAAGGCATCTCTAATGAGCCATTATGACAGCAATTAAACACTAACTACTGGCAAGTAGTAACTGAACTGCTACAGTATGTTCCCTTCATCAGCTTGTTAATTATACAGAAGTTAAATATGCAATGAAATTTGTTTTAAAGGAAATGACTGTTAGTGAAAGGAAAACCTAATACTCCATTTACTTAGAGGTCACTTGCTAAAGTTTACAGCTTAACTGGAAATTAAACATTTTTGTTTCATTAAAATCTGAGTCTTCATTCCCACTGCTGTGTTCCAGAAAAGTTTTATGATGCTGTGCTTCTAATTCTATATTGTTTTCACAACTGCTCCCAGGAAAGAGAATCCCCATCAATGAATAAATGGAAAGGGATTTTTTTTTTAAGGAATTCCTATCATTCATGTAGCCTCTCTCACCAGTATAAATAGTTAATTCTTCTGATTAACTGACTTCAGAAGTTACAAGTCAATGTTGCAGACAAAATATTCTTAGTGACTGAATATTCATCTTAGGTGGGAGATTATGCTGCTGGCTGAATTTTGTCTCACCTGTTTGGGAAGACTTTTCTTTCCCAAAGACACTTTTTTTTTTTAACCTATTCCCAGTTTACAGAAGGCCAGTTATGTCCCTTTGCTCTTACAAGAGTCAAACACTTGACAGCCACTTACAAACAAAAAGCAATTCAGAGCCTTCTTTAAGCAGATTTACTGAAAAGGAAAAGGGAATTAAATTACATAAAACTTGACAACTGGATATGTTAAATTTAGCACCCAGGTTTATTAGTACAGAGCTTTCTTGATCTTCTTGCTAACTATCTATTGATACACTGCATTTTCCAGATAAGGAATATAAAAGTGTTTTATGCTTACAATATTTTGCAAGATGCCATGTTATCTCCCTGCATATGAACAAAGTATCATTTCAAGATTTATTCCTACAATTGGTATCTTTAAAACATTCGTAAAAGTATCAGTACAAAAAAGAGTGAAAAGTAGAAAAATAACATGTCTATGAATTTGGTTACAGAAAGACAGTTACCTGCCATGCTGTCAAGCAAGATGTACACATCAGATGTCCACAAGGTTCAATCTTCACATCTTTGTCATTTTCAGCACAAATTTTACAAAGCTGGAATGTGGAACCCATTTCACAATATAATTCATATTGTTCCTGAAAAGGAATAACTGCAATGAAGAGCCTCTGGAAACTATAATATAAGAGCTACTTGGCTTGTCATTCGGATTATAACTTCTAAGCTATAACATATACAGTGGTACCTCGGGATACGAACACCTCTACTAGCGAACATTTCGGGTTACGACCAGTTTTGGCAGGAAAAAATTACCTTGGGTTATGAACTTGCCTCTCCTTACGAACCGGATCCGCAGCCATTTTCCCTGCTGCCACGCAGTCGCGGCTTCCTGTGGGTGAGGTCGCGGTAGCAAGGAGACGTTCG